TTTCGCGCTGTGGATGTCTACTTCCAAAGTGATGGAAATACCAACGCGCTGATTGGCCGACTTGGCTTTTTTGCACAAAGCACGAGACGTAAGCATCGGATCAGAGTTTAGTTTGCTAATATAAACCTAATCTCGAGTAAATCTTAATGCTTTGCATCGGCTGTACCGTGCATACAAATACACTCTTTTTATACAACTACTATAAAACTAGGCCTTTTCTAGATAGAAGCAAGGACTAGACTAGCCTAGGCCTAGACGGGACGATGATGGAATGGAACTGGAGGGATAAGCCCAGTCGGCTGGCGTTCGGACGGATGGTAAACAAGCCTAGGCCTATATAAATTGCCTTCAGGAGATGGAGTTTTTGAGTGTTTTGTAAAAAAAAAAAAAAAAAAAAAATCAGGTCGGGGGCTTTTCCGACGGTCGGGCGGGGATGCTAACCAATTGTTTTATTTTACGTGGCCTTATTTGTACAAATTTTCAGTTCAATTGAACAAATATAACCTCTTGTTGCTAAGGTAAGATTTGAATGCACTGCACTGTGCTAGGCGCTGAGCCTGCCATTACTCTAGCGTGTCAAGAACTTGATCGTTTATCGCTGCTTTCTTGAAAACAGCCATCTAAAGTAGCGTTATTAAAATCGTTATAACCTGAGATCTAGGAATCACATTTGGATAATTTTTTCACTGCTATTTTAAAATTTATAATGTACTTATTAATGTGGTTATCCTATCTCAAAATGACATTTTGCAACATGCAACCAAAATTTCTTGATATTGCCACAAATGTGGTGAGCCCTGATTATGACATATTGCAAAGAAAAAACACTTACATGATGTGAATGCATAAAGAAGGATAGCTGCTGTGTTCATTGAACCATGGCGATGCACATTGAACATGCCCAGTAGAGCCATCAGTAGAATACAGGTGGCCAATGCTATGAACTGACTTCCAACACCTGCAAAACAAAGATTGTTTGTTGGATTGTTGCAGAATTTATCATAAAATACACTGTACAAAATTAAACCTCTTAGTTCCATTTTAGTAATATAGCTGAGCAAGTTGATTTTTAAATAAAGATGATGTAGTAGATCAGCCCATGAAATTAGGAAAAAATTAGCTCGGCAGCCTCGGCAATTTTTTACTACCTAGGTCTATATAGTATAAACTACGATTTTTCCGAACGCTCGACCTTACATCGTCATCTACAGATTATGATTTTGTTAATTTCTCTATTAAATCAATATATTGCTGGTGAAAGAATGGTTGTACTTGTATTAATTTAATAGTGTAGTATAATACATATGTTTTACATAAGAAAATCACTGAATAAATTTCGTTTTAGCATTTGTTTTATCGTTAACTTTGGCATGGGAAATATCACTTTCGTAAAAAAACTACGATCGTATCATCACAGGCTGCTTCAAAACTGCCCATGCGCATGCCCAGAATGATCTATCATTGATTTTCCACACATGTACAGTACTTGTCAGTAGTGAAGTCATGATGCGATCGTGATTGCGTTTAAACAGAGGGTAGGATTAGGCCTACAATATGTTGAATTTTGTTGTTTTTAGATAATAAACAACATTTTAAATATGATAATAATACTGTAAAATGAAGACAAATAATAGATTTAGATAAGCATTACGATCTACGCGGCCCACGTTGCTTCAATTGTGCGATGTTGTAGGCTTTGTCTGGCTAGCGTCATTTCTACCTAGGCCTAGCCTACGAAATGTCTAGGCGAGAAAGAAAAGACGATTGTACACAAATCGTATGTACTGCATGCCTATTAAAAATAGTTATTGTACAAAGAAATCTGTTTTATGAACCACCAATTTCCTTGGTTTGACGGCGTACATGAAATTTAATGTCTGCTATAGCCTGTTTTTGACTTTCCAAGCAGTTTTTGAAGCAAAGAAATCTAGGCCTAGGTCGGCAAAAAATTGCCGTCCTGTAGCAATTCTGGCTCGGCAATATGGTCGGCAATTGCCGATTGCCGACGTGAAATTTGTGGGCTGAGTAGATTTGGTAATTCAGATGGCAGGTGCTGTTCTGTGTTGTGTACAATGTTAATAATAATAATAATAATGTCATCTTATTAGGTGCACGTATCCATCTCATGGTAGAACTGCTTCCGGCACCGTTTTCCACCTGCAGAGTGTACATGAAGCCTGTTTTCTGCATTATTATTGTGAATTAATTAATTTTATTTAAATTATTTATTTATTTTTATGTATATCTATTTATGACAGACCTGACATAGATAGGAAAGATAGGCAAAATAAGATGCAAATACTCTTCGTGGTCACCATCCATCACCACCCTGGTGCATTCTCGGACCTCTGCCTAGGTAGCTTGAACAATGCGACTGGAAACACATTTGCCCTGCCACAGACGACCGGGTGCTCAGAAGTTGTAATCGAGACAATGGCCCCAAATAGTCCTACCCTCACCACACTTAGATGCTATGAAAATTCAAACTCTCTGAATTACGAATTTTCTCATTTACGAACTCTGTTCGGACGGAGGGGTACGTAATTGGGAAATGTCACTGTACGCTTTTAAACATTTCACTTTAGTAATAAATCAAATAAACTGGACCTACCTAACATTGAGCAAAGGAGATTCTTATACTGAGGAAAGCGAAATACATCAGTATGAATGATCTTCCAGCCATTTTCATCTTGGTCTAGTTCTTCAACATCTTCCTCATCAACGTTATAACGAGCGAAGTCATTCTTTAACACTCTCATCTAATTAAAAATAATTACCAAGGGTACATATAGATAAAATATATGATAAAGATATAAAATAGGTATGGTATAGTCTACAGAAAAAATATGTATTTTCATAGCTAAATAAACAATATTTATTTGTTGTGCCTGATCTACCCAAAGCCTAATTTTTATTTGCTTTATGACTTATCTGTGTACCTGCACCTACTACTGTCTCGTAAACATGAGAAAGGAAAAGAAAAGGAAAGATAGACACGGAAACATAATGAAGGAAAAGGAAAGAAATGATAAGGAAATTTGGGATGGAAAGAAAGTAGCAGGCTATGAAATGATAACAAAGTAACATGCTATGAAAGAATATCTAAGAATTGCTGTGTGGGCCGAGTTAAATAAATTACCAAACTATTGTAATAATTATTATTATAAGTCAATCGTGACGTCATTACTGCAACTCCCAATGTTATTTGCCTATTCCCCACCGTCCACTAATTGAAAAATAAGCTTGGCTTGATTTTTTTAGGTTCGTGGGCACAAAAAAATTACACATTTTTTCCTCACCGCGAAGACATCGCGCACCGCGATAAAACAAGCTTAATTAGAACCCAAAGAAAGTTACTTCAAATTCAATATTAAGTATGAACAATTAAGGAATTCATTGAATCAATGGACCCTTATACTACTAGGCCGTAGCCTAGCCTAGTTATGAAATCATCGCACGATTTTACGTGTCTGCATGTACCGACCAAAAAGGACGTCAGTGACTTATTCTCTCTCGAATGCTGAAATGTTTATTTCTGTGACGAAAGTCTACCAAAATAGCATTACAAACAAGTTCTTTCTAACACAATACAAATTACAATAGTTATTCATGTATCCGTACTGTACTGCTGATGTGCAGTTAATTAAACACGTACTGCAGGAGCAAAAATCAGCATACGAACAGATAAATGTAAATACGCACACGTATACCAATCATATTACTATAGCAACCGATGACAGTTGGTTATAAAAAACTAAAATTAAAAGACAGCGATTGACTTATAAAGCAATTAGTAGAGCATGCATCGTACACTAAATGGAAATTATTATACTTAGGTTAGATTTAATGCATACAAAAATTTCCTTTGGGCCTTGCAGGCCCTCAGGAAATTTCATCAAGCATTAAATCTAACCTTCGTATAATAATTTTCCTATAGTGTACTATGCAGAGCTCTACTAATTGCTTAATAATCAACGAAATAATTGTTCAACTAAACCCCAAAATTTTGGATAATTAACAATAAATCTGTACATTTGTTTAAGGTTCATTTTCTTCTCTGTTGTTGTTAAGCACCTCAAGGTAGTGACAACGTGAGGCACTATATAAATCCAGAATTATTATTATTATCATAAATATTTGAATATATCTGATCTGAATCTGTCTTTTGCCTTATTAATTTGTGTGCCTAACTATACCTGATGCATTATTCACTTGAGTAGTATACCTACTGTGCCCTCAATTTGTATGCCTAAACCTACTCTCCTGAACAGACTTAATAAATTAATGAATGTACCATTATTATGACAACGAAACCAATGAGTAGAAACACAAGCACCATTGAATTGATGATCGACAGCCAGTGGACCTATACAAAAATAAAAACAACATTCTTAGTTAATCTGTGATTATTATTACTTATTGTTACTACTTTAATACTACGCTTAATTTTAAATTTACAAACACAATAGAACACAACAAAAGAAAAGAAAATGCAGAACTTGCAAGGTTAGCAATTTTTGATAAGGATCAGATGGAAATGAAATGGGATATTTTAAACTAGGCAAGAAAGAATGAGAGGTTTTCTCTAAGATGGTGATTAGAAATCTGCCTGTACCGCAACTTCTACAATGGGATTTGAACTACTGCACTGGTGATTGTCATGAACTGTAAGTTAAAAAGCATGAAAATCACCAATAAAATACTGTAGTTCAAACACCATTGCAGAAGGTAGACATGGAAGTGGTAAGGGAACACCAGTAGATTTTTTTTTAATAAGACATTAAACTGTTGATCTATAGTGAAAAAAAATTTGGATTTTTAGGCAATTTTTTGAGCTCCCATATTTTATAGCTCATTTACTCAATACTGGCCTGTGCGACAACTTAACCATTTTGCCACGACATGCCTCAATTGTACTCAAACCGTGTTCAAAACTCTTGTGCTTAGGTATAGTCAGACTTCAAAATGATACTTGTGTGTAAGGGCACAAAAAGAAGAAAATAGGACTGCAAGAGGAAGGTTGTTCCCCATCATAATGTGTGAAACTTTTGAAAAACCCAATTATCAGTGCAGTCTACATCATTAAGACTAAAATCATTAATACATTTTTGCTTCACAGTATACTAATTTACCCTACCTCTAGTGTCTTTGGAAAGAAGCTGGTTTTTCCAAGACGAGCAGCCCTGTTCTTGTACTCCAGTGGTGTCTCATGCCACGATACACTGTAAGTAAACTGAACATCCAATGGGGTTGTCACTTCATCCAGGCTAACTGGCTGCCGATCACGTGTACTGATATTTGCATAAATAATCTACATAGTAATGCACAGAAAACAAAAGGAATTCACTGACAATAAACCAATTAATTAGAAGTGATGATAAGAAAACTAGGCAATAGCATTAATATAACTAGTATCTCTAGGTCAACAACATTTTTGGATCATGATGAAATTCTAGGGAATTTTGTCATACAAAACGTCCAATAAAAACAAAACATTGGGTGGGGGTAGGATATAATTTTTATCTCATATGAATTCAATATCCTATTACTAATAATGGGTTTATCGATCGTCTGCCTAAGTTATACAATTCTTTATGTAAAATTAGTCCTGTAAAGGGTGACATTGGTCACTGTTGGACTTTGATGAAATAAAATAAAAATTTAAAAAAAATTTTGTCATAATCAAGGTCTGCAAGCACTTTACTGATCTTTCTACACTATTATTAGGTATATTGTGAATAAAATCCAATGAGATACACAACAATACATTGAAGTAAATGTTTAGCTAAGTATGATTGATAGATTTAACCTTGAAATAATTAAGAAAAATTTAAGCATTTTTTCACTACAAAAATTGTATAAAGTTTAAAGCTCCATTCCAAATTATTTTTAAAAAAAAATTAACAAAATTAACTAAAACTTTCTAGTACTATACCTGATCACCATTGTACTCTATGTGGAAATGATGATGCACCCACAAGTATATCTTGTGAGTGTGGGGTAGGAATCCCCCTTCCTCTAGATGACCAATAAATCCTCTTACAGGCAGGTCATCAAGGACAAACTCAAAGTAATAAAGATCTTCAATAGATTCTCTCAGGATATCAATATCCTTGTCTTTTAGCTTCAAGGAACACAGCTCCTTGTTTTCGGTTTTTTCTGAAAAAAAGAACACGTTGAAAATTTTACTTTAATTTTGTTTATTTTCTGGTCGTCTAATGGAGTAAACTCCACTACACTGTAAGGTACAAGGGTACAGGCATGAGAACATTTTTATACCATGCAACTAAACTCTAAAACTAAAATAAAATACATTTTTTAACTGCAAAAATTCAAAAATTTGATCAAAATCCTGTAAGTGTAATATTTATAATATTTGTTCTCATTGCAAAGTTTTGTTCTCTTGCCTTGATCAAAATTAAATTGGTTCTCTTCTTATATTTACACATATATATATATATATATATATTTTTCTTATTATTAGTGTTCATTTGATTTTTATTTCTGATTTGAATTTCTATGTATTTTTTTTTCATCTGTGAACCAGTGCTATGTCACTGAATGAAGATCCTTTTTGTTCATGTAATAGTGTTAAAAGGACCCCATTGGAAAAAACTAATTCCTTGACTTTCTGGGTCATCCTGGATTTGATGTACAGTAGAACCCCTCATTTACGTACGGGACGGGCCCAGAGGCGTTCCTAAAAATCATTCATACGTAAAATCGGAGTTGTGTGAAATTCCTATGCATTTTATACACTACCAATATGCTAGGATGGGCTAGGCCTGGACTGGAATTTTGTTGGATTTGAGCCAAAACTCCAACTTGCGTTCGAAAGAAATTCAAAATAACCATCATAAATGTACAGTACTATACATAGGCCTACTTGTTAATGTGTATACAAACTTTATTCTCTCTTTCTCAGGCAATAAAATATGACTTATCTTCTAGCTTACGAAGAAACACAGCCCTTTCACTCGACCCATGTGTTTGTGGCGTCAAGTAAATACCTGTACAGAATAACCCGGAAACCAGGGGTTCACTTATTAAAAGAAGAGCGCTGGTTGGCTGTAGACACGGCGCTTCCAAGGATTTAATATATATATTTTTTTTGTATGCAATGCGATTGTTCTACGCCTACATTAACATTTATGTAATGAATAATTTAAAAAGAAAATGTGGGTGTCAGTGTCTTATTTTATGGGGAAATAATGAAATGGTAGATTAACGTTAGTGAGATTTGATAAATAAAAAAATTCATTTTAAATTAAAATTATAAATCAAACCTAAACGTGACTGTAGGCCTAAACACTACACAGTAATCTCGTGTGAAATTTATTCGAATATCATTGGTTAAAATAAATTTGGTAGGTGGGTTAATTACGAAGATTATTTTGTCTTTTCTATTACGTAAGAGTTAGGGCTAAGAGTAAGACACACATGATTTATTCAGTGGACAATGTTCGTAAAACAAACTTGAAAGTGAATTGCGCCTATCAATATGCCGACAACTTACGCATTGGGCTGAGTTTTTTCATGGTTGCAGATATGAAGTATGATCGCTGTGTTGAATGTCGGCGTATTCAAAGCGCACTATCTGCGTTTTGTATTGTAGTAGAGATCGCTGATAGTGTACAACAAACCGTCTAAGACCAAAGAAGAAACTCCAGCATGCGCTTAACGATTAATTCTTGACACGTGTGTGTGTTTTTTACATGATATAGGAACTTTATTTATGACAACAATGACATGATTTTATGTTCGTAAAATCGGGAATTCGTAAAATCGGGAATTCGTAAAATCGGGGTTCGTAAATGAGGGGTTCTACTGTACTTGTTGTTTTTATGTCATTGCTTTTAAGTTTTTTTGTACTCAGAATTCTAATGTAAATTTGATGTTATTTTCAGATAATGCTTGATACTTGTTTTTTAAAAATTATTTTCATGTATTTTAAATTGTGTACATGTATTGTTGTATAAAGCTGAATAAAATCAATCAATCATTCACTGAAAGTGTTATAGGTTTAGGCCGTGTTTCCGCAGCACTTATAATTTCTTCGATAAATTATCTTAAAATTCCCTTCAAATATTTTATCCCCTCATGAAAAATTATGAACAATTCAATGTGTTTAATATCAAAACATCAATTTAGTTAACCTAGCAGATTTATTTTTTTTTTTGCACGAGATAGATAGGCCTAGGCCAAGAACAAAATCGTTCGGTAGTCCTATTTCATTCTGGAAAATGTACTGTCACAATGTTTCATTGTACTTCTATACAGAGATTTAGAAGACGACGAAAAAGAATGCTAGCTTTGTATGTTGTGCTTTACAGCACAATAAACGATAGGTAGGGATAGACCTAGGCCCAGCCAGGTACCGTCGACGTCGAGTTCAGCCTTTTCAGAACATTTAATAAGCACGCAAAATGTAAGTCTAACTTTTTATTATGAAGTGTTTCACACTAGGGCTAGGCCCCTAGGTCTACTAACTACTAGTTGCCTTAAAAACTAACTACCCAAAAAAATTCTTTTCATGATTTGATATCGGTCGTAGGTTATTTATTTTCGCATTCAAAGCTTTTTCAAATAAACTAACAGATTCTCATGCGAAAATTTATTGGAAACTTTGAGTGTTGTTTCCATAGTGAAAAATTAAAAAAAAAGGCTGCTTTCTGATACTTTATCTGGTAATAACTGCTGCGGAAACACGGGCTTAAAAACAGAATAAATAATATGAAAACTTTCCTACTGAAATAATTTATTAATTTCTAAAACCTTGTATTCTTACCTTTGAATTTCAAGTTATACATGGACACCGCCATTCGATCCCCATCTAGAATTTCACCCAAGGTTAAACTTCTTGTTTCAACCTAGGAAATACAATATTAAATGAAATGTGACTCTTTGATTTAAAAATAAAAATCAACAAAGATTTGCTATATAATTTTAACACAAAATTAAATGACGAGAAGAATTGAATTTTAAGTTTACATTAAATAAACAGTTTTGTTTCAAAGTAAAACTGTTTTATATTATAGTGTTAACCATGTGACTATCTTAATCCTGTCACCTACCTTGGTTTTTCTATTTTATAATTATTGTTGTTCACTTGATCTTAAAATTCATCCATGTTGAACTAAAAACATAAATCTTTTTTGTCATTAAATTTTGTGTTAAAGAAAATAATTTAAACTTTTTATGAACTTGTAATGAATGTTTACAATGTCCCACTAAAGAGTATGTTAAACACAAGTTTACATACATGTATCATGATTACATTACAGTAAATCTACAAAAATCTCATTTAATTCACCCATTTGTTTTTCTTTTCTGTTTCTTTTATTTAATGTAATTTTTATACATTTTTCTTTAATTTTGATTTGTAATTTAATGTAATTTAAGATCATACCCTGAACCTCAGGGAAGAACAGTGTAACAATACTGACTGAGTATCCAGAACAAAGGAAGATTTCTATCTATCTATTTGGGTTTATGTTAAATCAACAAATGGGGGTACTTGTCCCCTTTCTGAACAACAGCAGTGACGGCGGCGGCAGCATCAACTATAATAACAATTGCGGAATTTGTACAGAAAACATCTGAAAATGAAAATTGGCATTATGAGCAGCCTGTAGTAAGGGAAGTGGATTGCTAGAAAAAGATTTTAGCCAAATCCAACACCACTTTTCAGACAATTGGTTGATCTAACATGGAATGACCCATCTATCAGTGTCAGTTACTAAAAAAAAAAGAAATGATTTACAATAACTAAGTAATGAAAATAAACAAATCCCACATGATTATTGTACTGTAAAATTGATACTACAGTAGAATGAAATTTACTGGACAAACAATGACAATGATTATTATTGGGAATTTTCAGTACAGTAATGGGCAAAAACCCATAGTTAAAAGGAATTTCAAGACAAAGCTCTTAGCGTAGTAAAGTTTGGTTATCTTTCGTTTTCTGAGAAGTGTGGCACTCATTATTTTTGCAGACAGATGCTAAAATGAACCATAGCATCGGGGAAAACCCCTACTCTTCCAAAACATATAATGGTTTTTTTTTAAAGTGCATACCAGGCAGATGTGTACACTGGGGCTCCATTTTAAGTCCTTATCTGATATGACTTGGTTCTACCGAACCTTGGGTGAGGAGCAGCTGAAACCAGCACAAACTTTAAGGCTATAGTTAGCGGCGCCCTTGCATTACGCTCGGCCACTAGACTCACTACATGAAGAAATACACAGTACATTGACTTACCTTATCAGGTCTACAAACTGGTAGCTGGTAATAATGATATGTTTCATGGGGGTTAAAGTATGGACCCACTTTGTTAACATATAAAGTAACCTGAAAGTAGAAAAAAAACACTAATTAGTACTGTTTTGTTCTCATACTGCACTAAACAACAAAACACCCAGATGCTGCACTCAGTAGGTCGGGATCCAGTCAAGTCGTTCCCTTGTAAAGCCGCCCCCTACAAAGTCGCCCCTAACCAAGTCCCCCCTCGTTAAGTCGCCCACTAACCAAGTCGCCCCCTTGACTAATATTGAATATTATTATTAACTAACTTTGAAACTTATTTAAAACTTATTTAGGCCTAGGAGAGAGCTAGCTAGGCCAGGCTAGCTAGTTTGTGTACATTGTTTTATTTTATATTAGTATATAATATGAATCCATCAAGGCCTTGTACATTTCATTTTGGTTCAAATAATAGTTATTTGTTTTTTACACAAGATGTTTTTATGAAGGGAACTTATGGTAGTTCCCTACATAAACTCTGAAACTTAGTGTTGTACCGTCTTCTGTTCTTTTAGCAACTTGTTTTATCAATAAAGTATTACGTATTTTTAAAAGGTTTTAAAAAGAGAATATTAGCTTTTCCAAGTTAGTCCAAGACACGATATGGATGATGCTAGCCAGAACAAAATTCCAATAAAAGGTAAGACGCTGTTTGTTTTGAATTAGGAAATCAATAAACAATTAAACACAACTTTCAGATTTCATAATTTTTATTAGAAATTCACTGAAAATTAATGTACATTGTTCCGTGTTTATCTTACAAGTATCTGTTATGGGAGCTATAAGTTTCAAAGGTTAGTTAATAATAATATTCAATATTAGTCAAGGGGGCGACTTGGTTATGGGGGAATCTTTACAAGGGGGCGACTTAACTGGTATTCAGTAGGTCCCAAGTGATTGGCATTCACGGGCTAGATCCAAAATCTGCTGACTGATGGAGACAACAATAAAGATTGTAAAAATAAAATAGAATTTTTATTTGGGAGGTTATGATTGTAACTGACATATTGCTTTGTTGTTGCACATTGATCCATCCATACAACTCTTATTTCAAATATTTTGTGGGATGTACAATGTCTTCGTCCTACCTACTTCTCTGACTAATTCCTACATTTTAAATTCAATGTACCTACAGGTGTACATCACTCTTTCTATTTAACCTTTCAAAACACAGTTTAATATTTGTGTTCCATGGGTAATCCTGATGACATTGGCTTTTATGTGTTCTATTTCTCTATAAACATCAACAAAAACACCCGATCGCTCAACACAATCAACTCCGCTCCGCTGTACCACACACACAATAATGTCATGTATTTGCCCTTTGAAATACAGCATGCGTGGGGTAGATACAGCCTCACAACATATTGTGGTCACAGTGTAATAGTGGACCAACCACTCTTTATTAGACAATGGTATACAGTATATAGGCGTTGTCAAGCCTCAATGAACACATAGAATACAGGTGATAAATATTTAACAAATACAGTCGACAACTGCAGGTTTCCTGGGTCTGTCATATAATTTGTGCCTAATTGTAATTTTTGTGACCAATTATTTCGCTACATCAGGATTTCTGGAAACTTTTTGTATTATTTATTTTTCTTGATGAAGATGAAATAAAGTAAAAAGTAGAATAACATTTTGAGTGACTTAAGTCAGTGCACATCTATTGACTACCATGGTATAATTATGCTCTGATTCTGGCAACACCGCTAAGTTGTTGACATGTACTACAAACCAGGAGTCTAAGTTGATGCACCGCGAAGACATTATCTGTCCTAATTAATGGTTAATTAACTTAATTAGAAACCATAATTGTTGGATAATATGTGAATTATAGGAAAGTAAAATCATCAAGTAATACATTAGTATTGAATAATTGCAAGTGTTAAATAATTTTAGTAAATGATTTTAGGACTGGATGCGAAACTGAAGGCCAATAACCGTCTAGGCGATACAAACATCGCGATAGAAAATAGTGCCTGACGGAGATACAATATCCAATGTATTAATTGGGTATTTCGCGGAAGTACAACAACTTGACCAAAGTACTTCAAGATAACACTCCAGAAATGATATCTGGACCAAGTTATTGGCTTTTTAAGTGCGCGAATCAATTTAGTAGATGTTTTTTTAGTACAACTAATGTTTCGTCTATTTTCAATAATAAAAGAAACCTTCGTAGTTTTTTGGTTAACATGTTTGTTTTCATCAGTTTTTAAACTATAAAGATAAGTAAGTTTTAAATAATATTTGTGAGCACATTGATTGAAATAGATAGCATAAAATTCTATTTTCTTATCACGTACCGCAGGCTCGGCTCATAGAGAGCTCCCTCGTTAATTTGCAGCGGCTACACGCGGGGTAAACGATATTTTTCCCGCTGGCCACCGTGTTGTCTGAGGCTTGCAATTAGGCCTAGAGTTATGCGATTCGATATAATTTATTATACGTAGAATCTATAAGTTGATAAAAATTATTAAATCTAATATAAATATTAAAAATACTAAATTATAATTGTTAGCAATTGTCGAGTATTATTTTAACATGGCCTAAAATGCTACATAATTATACTGTAAGTGACACACTTCTTGTATAATAAAAACAATAGGAATTAACTCCAGCAAAAAACATACTTAAAATAGCAATATCTCCGCTAATATTGGTCCGATTTACATAATTTTTGTTTTAAAATGCTCCATTCAGTTATGTCTTTCTATTAAAAATAAATAAAAAAATATTTGGGACATTACAATTTTTTTTTGTTTCTAGCTAACTAGGCCTAAGCACACACACTTACGGTTACATGCTTAGTTAGGGTTAGGGTTAGTTGGCGGTTCAAGGTATACTACTAGGGTCTAGGCAGGGTTCGAAATAACGCTGGTCCGCCGGCCAATGGCTAGTAAAATGCATGGCAGACCTGTTAATTATCCCAAAAACAAGTCCGCGTGACCAGTTAAAATGTCAATGAAAGCCTGACGAAATACCTAAAGCTTTAATCGTTCACCTCTTAACGATGTCTTTACAAAATATTTCACACAGATAATGTCAACAAGATTGCTATTTTCTGTTTATTGTCATGTTAATGTCCGCTACGAACAGCCTTGGTCTCAGTCATTCAAGGCGAACCGATAATATCACGCACTAGCCTAGACCATAGAGGAATCCATGGCTAGACGTACAGACAGAGGGAAATCACCTTCTCCGCATGTTATAGCAACAAGTAGAAGTTGATTTCCGTCTGTGTGAGCACCGTGAAGTTAAAACATCCATGTCATGTATCCATCCCACAATGCAATGTGGGACAAAAAGTTAATAAACAACGCAACGATTTCCAGATGAAATAACGAAATAATCACACCCTGTAAATGAACCGTTCGTACAGTCCCAATAGCATTGCCATGTAGATTGTCTATTAATTAAAACGACACGCCAGTAAAATGTTAGATAAAGTGAAAGTTATGCCTTCCATTCTTTTAATAAAATGCATTATCGCCTATGAATAAAAATCGACTGTAATCAACCTGAAATGAAAAAGGAACTCAAAGCAATTGTTTCTACGACGGCTCTTTTTCAGTAGATGTTTAATTCGGATTTGGTATGTCATTAGATTCATATATCAGTCTACATGTAAATTACACTCACATTCCCCAAAAAACATTGCTAATTACGGAGGGAATTTGCAGAGAATGAAATCTTAATTTGTTAGATTTAATTTTAGATTTTACTCTAAAACAAAACCACAAGGGTTTCTTATTCATTTTAATAAATTTGTTTGATTAAAAATTGATCAGTTTACACTAAGCTTGTTCCTGCCAGCAAGCTGTCACGCACTATGAAACTTTGGGCGATCTGACGTCACCACAGCCACAAGCACATGGGATTTTTGCCCAGCAACATAACCCCACGAAAAAAATTAACCAATTAGCGTGCAGAGTTTAGGAGCCGCGACCTGATATATTTACAAGTTGCATCGTCGTGACCACGAAGGATGTGTTGTGTTTACAGTTTAGAAAAAAATGTCCGACCGAAAATGCACGTAAAAACAATATAAAAGCATTCATTTTATTGGTACAGTAATACAATTTGCTGTGCAATACAGCTAAACAACAGGTACTGTACGTATTATGTTAAATGTTAACTTTTTTCGTAGGCTAGTCATACCAAATTCACTGGGCTAGCCTATGCTGCTAAGCCTATTTTTAGCGTCTAGGCCTAGGCTAGGCCCTAACTCGCCTGCCTTATTCGGAAAGGATTCAATAGAAATGTTCCACAAACCGATCTTTCTGGAAACCGAACATCGTAACGAACATCGTATTGTGAGAGTGCACTGTACATACAAATAGATTCCTGTATTTATATTTCGCGGCATAATTTCCCATACAGAGACAACAGAAATATTTTTTTTGTATCTGTCAGTGTTACTTCATCGGTGGGAGAGGGGGGGCAGCATGATTAGCATGTCAAAAATATTGTATTTGGGCCTTGGCAAGTTGGCTAGTGAAAGAGATTGAGGACCAGTAAAAATATTAATTTACTGGTCCACTTGGCTAGTTAAAAAAAACTTAAAAGGAAACCCCTGTTGGCCTACTACTACTACAATTAGGCCTACTCCAGCTAGCTACACCTTGTAGTTGTACAAGGCTAGGTCGTCCTCCAACTAGACAGGGGTTAATCCTAGGCCTGCTAGCTAGGCCTAGTTAGGCCTCCTAAACTAAGGCCTAGGCGGAGTCGCCTCTAGGCTAGCCTAGTAACTAGGCTACTAGGGCCAGGCTAGTTAGCCCACCAAACCAAAGTCAAGAAGTTCCCAAAGAAAAATACAATTACAAATAAAATGATTATACGAATAGAATACACAGTCATCTGTACCATAGCTATTTGAGTTGAATTATTTACAGATACCTTATCTCCATCTTTAAAATGCTCCGAAAAAATTGGATTTATACAGCAGAAGAAACTCAGAACTGCCAACAAGGCGGCTGCCATCTTGAATAGTGACGTCACTTGCTGATTAAAAAATTGCCAGAAAATGTACAAGTTCATAAAATACCAATAAAATCAATCAATCAAATATCCACAAAGTAAAGTAAATAATTGTAATACTGTAAAAAAGGAGACAAAACTGAAAAATGACAGAAAAAATTTAAAAGTAGGCTAGCTGCCTACTAATTACAATTTATTGGACACTGAATACCTTAAAATGACATTTGAGCCAATTTGGCACCGCCCGCAGGTCCAAAAAGCTGCTGTTTTCTATCGGCACTGCCGCAGTGCCAAAAAGCTGCTGTTTTCTATCGGTACTGCCGCAGTGCGAAAAAGTTGCTGTTTTCTATCGGCACTGCCATCGGTAGATGACATTATGGTATCAATAATTGATTAGGTCTAACCTAGCCTATACTATTGTTAACATTATATTATATATGCTCTACAATTAATAATTATAATTTTTTTAAATTCAATTATTAAATATATACATTATATATTAGGCCTAGGCATATATTAATGTATACATAAAACAATAATAATAATAATAATAATAATAATAATAATAATAATAATAATAATAATAATAATAATAATAATAATAATAATAATAATAATAATAATAATAATAATAATATTATTATTAATAATAATAATAATAATAATAAATAATAATAATAATAATAATAATAATAATAATAATAATAATAATAATAATAATAATAATAATTTTACGATAGTTTAATTAATGAGATAATAAAAATCAGCATATTAAATTTCTTTAATAAATAAAAATAAAAATAAAAATTAACATGTTTTCACTTTGTTCTTTGTGATCTGTTTGTTCTCTTCCTGTTGTTTTGACAGGCAAAACCTGCTTTTAAATAAAAATGTTATCTACCGTACTGTATTTGATTGTTTTAAAAAATAATCTTATAAAGTATAAATTTATTTTCTGTTATAATTTTATCCACATAGGCTAATTCATGTTTTCAATGTTAATATGGTTGATAAATAATATACATAAAATAATAATAATAATAATAATAATAATAATGAAGGTGCTCGAATAATGCTTTAATAAAGAATTAATAATACTATAATAATAATTTATTAGGAACTACACTTTTCAATCAGTGGCACACTTCTCAATCAAGGTGCGTCCAAAACAAAATGTACAGTAAAGTTCACAAAAAAGACTTATGCTAAGAAAACGACAATTCAAAATTTCAAAAAGGACATTAAGGAAAAGCAATTAAATTAAAAGCAATCCTAAAACTAAAAAATTTAAGGCAAAATGAAGTGATGCAAACAATCACATGAACAATTATACAAACACTATACAAACGTACATGAAATACACACACAGTACATAAGTACATATATATCCATACACAACTGTATACCCAGTCACATGATTGTACCGTACTCACAATTATAAACATAAAGACATACAGTATATACTGAACTCTATACTACACCACTTATCACACAAGAAGCACACATATCAGGCGAGATAACACATAAGCATATAAAAGTAAATCAAAAATCATAAAGTAATACATCAAAAATAATCTTATAAATTATAAGTTTATTTTCTGTGATAATTTTATCCACACAGGCTAATTCATGTTTTCATAGTTAATATGGTTAATAAATAATATATATAAAATAATAATAATAATAATAATAATAATAATAATAATAATAATAATAATAATAATAAAATTTTATTTTATTTTATTAATTTCGGCAACACAAATGAAAAGACACAATACAACTTTGAATGCGCCATGGAGAAGCAAAAGAGATCAGAGAACTTCTGTCTCCAAGGGGCGTGTCACTCCAACACTCAAAGCCTACAAAAAACATGCAATAAAATATAAAAATATACAAGAATATCTAAAAATTAAATAGGCCAATAATGATAATAATAATAATAATGAAGGGGCTTGAATAATGCTTTAATAAAGAATTATTAATGCTTCATACTTCAATAGGCCTATTTACGATAGTGTGATTAATGAGTCATTTGGTGATTAATTTATAGAAATATGTAATAGGTATATACCATTAATAATGATTCAGCATATTAAATCAATTAACAGATTAGTGACGCCGGGGCAATAGTTGATAGTAAATAACAGTACATTGATATCCACATAATTGTTGAATGCAGGGACCTATCTCTAGTAATACATTAAAAATGCTAATTATAATTCGGGACAAATAATTATCTTTACATGATATGACCCATGGCATGTGTACATCGTGAACTCAAGCGGTAAAGTAGTACGTACGTACGTGTATGATAATGGTGATCAGGTACACAGATTTCAAGAAAAACACAAAAACAGAGTGGTGATTAATCCTGGTGTGATTAATCCTGGTGCTTTCTAAGACGGAGTCGACGTTAAGGTATATAAAACTCGAAAAAAGAAACTGTTCCAAAGGCATGTTTGCATCCATTTATATATCACTTGAAACATCTTACTTGAATCTATTACACTGTGTATGATAATGGTGATCAGGCATACAGATTTCAATTAAAATAAAAACAGCGCGGTGTCCCTGTGCATTTTTGCATAATCTGTGACATAGTTTACTTACTATTAAAATATTGATACAAACCAAAGTTGTCAGTTATTTCATTTGAAACCAGTGTCAGTATAATCTTAGGAAAGCACGGTTAACATAAGCAAGAATTTAGTCCAATGAAACTCTTGATACCTTCCGACGAAAATTGACCCTACCGGCGTCACCACGGCGTCCCCATCGATAAATCTAACATGACGTTGTTATGTGGGTGTTTTATAGATTATTGAGAATGGTTATAACACCGACAAAATTAGATAAAATGACAGTTGGATGACCAGCAAAGACAACTGAAGAGAATAGTTCGTCATCAGAGGTTATTTAGTATAACTTTATTCTTAAAATTAAACTCAAAATCGAGCGTCCCCGGCGTTGTCGGTGACGTCGTATGATTTGTGTGCGATTTTAAGAAATTAACCCCTAAGTAAAAAATAGTTGAGCCATGTAGTACCTTGCAAATTAACCCAGAAACCCGGTTTGTTAATTGTTTATTCATTACCAACCTGAGAAATTTGAAATGCGTGAGTGACTATACCAGTCGGCTGGGGGGGAGGGGTCAGCGGCAGGGAACCACTCCCCCTCCCCCGCTCCGACGATCTGAGCATTTTTAAGCTGTTTTAAAACGATTTCAGGGAGTGTTTGTTGATAATACAGGTACATAATCAAAATATTATTAATAAAGCCAATTGAGTTTCAATGTAGACCTATGTTTAACTTGAGCACCCGAACTATGTAGACGTAGACCTACACTAACATTTCATTACTGACCAATTTTTAGTAACTCATTTGTGAAATAAGTAGGGCCTTCAAGGAAATACTGTACTATCTAATGACTCAAGTTACTGCATCACTTTTTATAGTTTTAATACAACCAATTTCTTAAAATTTTAAATACATTTTCCCCTGAATTTGGGTTAAATCGTTATCACACATAGACTTTTGTTAAATGCGTGACAGATTTAGGATCACGCATGTAAATAATACTGTACCGTACATTTGTGTTTCCACCTCCCTCACAATTGTTGATTGTTTTTTTATTCTACCATGATTCAACCAAACACGGTTCAGCCACACACATAGCTGTCCCTTCTTCCAAAACCTTTTACGCACACTCTGTTACTCCGCAACTTTGTGAGACTACCTTACTATATAGGCCTAGGTATTATGTTTAGTAATAAAGTATCCACATGGGCATTCGGTTATCAAGAAATATGTGGTGTTGTTTACTGTAGTGATCTTTCTAGGACACGTCTTATATTTAATCATTTAATTTTATCTTTAGCTCATGACTCATCTTATCATTCCTCTATACCGGATTTACTCGATCTGATAGGGTTAATACTAGACGATAACATAGTGTCTAGCTCCCGAGGAGGCATAGACACAAAAACTGATAACTCAAATAGCACGCATCATCTGGCACTTTAGCAGCGTGTGCAAGCGACGCATTCGCTGTAACAATGAAGCGGCTTTATTAAAAAATATTTTGCTGTAACAATGAAGCGGCTTTATTAAAAACTATTTTCTCCATGATGAAACGTCTCTGTTATTTTTTTGCAATTTACAGATGCTTCGCGGCCCTCCAAAAATGTTTCGCGGCCCAAATTTAGGCCACCGGACCATTTGCGGAACCGTGTTAGTTGACTTTAACATCTCTATTACTGTAGTTATGGAGAATTTTACATTCAAAATTCGGAACAAAAAGGGTAAATTTTACAAGAGAAAGTTATAAAAACAATTTTAACATATCAGGTATTTTCTTAAAAAATTAAAACTGTATTAAAGATATTTAAAACGTCAACTAAATATGTTCTGAACAATATTATACCAAAATTACATTTTTACAGCCAGTATTAATTGAGATATAAAAATATTAGGTCAAAAGTCGAGAATGTCATTACCGGTCATTTTTGCATCAAGTGTTTATTTAATCAATCAGAAATATATATTTGTATGAAAATAATTTTATTTGGTACCTTATAACACATAAACGACATAAGATCACATAATTCCATAAAGTCACATCGTGTAAATGTCAAAGGTCATAAGTTGCATTTCCGGTCATTTTCTGAGAAAATATTCCATTACAATAAATATAAATGTATTTATTCTGAACAAAATGACACCAAAATCAAATCAAAATGACCAGTAGATTGAGATATACGAATATGAGGTCAAAGAAACGTCATTTCCGGACAATTTTGGAAGAAATGTTTTATTAGAGCATATAGAATAGGTTGTGAACAATTAGAGACCAAAATCAAGTCTCTACAGTTTGTAGTTGCCAAGATATGAGCACTTTTTGTTTTCATGGCGGCCATTTTGAAATCAAGATGGCCGCAATAAACATTGGACGCCTGGCACCCCCGATATTTTGATTCTATATACAGTACATTGAAGAAACTTTGTGCCAAGTTTCATGCTTTGGTAATAAAATGCACACCTCGTGGCATTAACTGCTCTAATTAGGCATATGGGGGGAAGGTAGACAATACTCCTCAAAAGATTAGTGCTAAAGTGCGAGCCAGCGAGTCATGGCAGCCAATGTGCGAGTCATGCGAGCCAGAGAGCCATGCGAGCCATACATTTAATTTTTTTTTTCAGGTTATCCAGTTTTGCAAACACGTAGGAATAGCAATGTTCTGAGAGGTACGCTTGCCATTTCACCACTCTTTTAAATTGTACTGTTCTTCCTTTGCTGTTGCATTTCTGATTGACTGCGTATGATTTGATGTATTCTTTTTGTATTTTATTTATTTTCGCTGCTTACATGTGTATATATGTATATATATTTACAGTTTGCGCGTATGTATGTTTATGTATGTATATGAGTATGTTAATTTATTATTATTATTATTATTATTCGGGATTTTTTGAATTCTGATGATAATGTTTTTTTTTTGTTTTTGTTTTGTTTTTTGTTTTGTTTTTTTTTCGGGATTGGAAAGGGAAGGGAGGGGGTAACTTCGATTTCGGGATTGGAAAAGGGAAGGGAGGGGTAATTAAGACTTTGATTTTTACTTTTTGTTAAGCTCATTTACTTTTACTTTTGA